AAAAAAGTTTTTCTTTTTTTTTCCCTCCCCCCCCCCCCAATCACCTTCCCCCTGGGACCCTTCTATGGAGCATCGAAATGCTCAAAATCCATGAAAGGTGAAAGGGCAGGCATTGAAAACACACCTCAGAGGAGCTGCACGCTGCTGGTAATTGCACATTCTCTCCTGAGAGGTGTGTGGCCCTTCCCGTCTCCATTTCGATACCGTTTTTCTAATGCAGTACTTCGGATCTCCAATGGCACACAGCCCATTTAGTTAAAAATGTAAACAGGAAATTGTTTTCTGGCTGAATGGCCTTTGTGGCCCAGAAAAAAAAATGGTCATTTCTGCTGAGACATAATTTTAAAACCATTCACACAGCAGTGGAAGCTGAAGGCTTGTTGTAAGCTAGCCCTGCCTCAGAACAAGGCTGCTGGTGGGATGTGGGCCTAGGAACTACTGTACGTGGCTTCAGGGCATTTTTCACCTAAGGCCAGAGGTACTGTGGGCTTGACTGAAGAAGCTCCTATCACCTAGAAAACAGTTGTTCTGCAGGGCAAAGAGACATGTTTATACTCCGCGAAATTGCAGAACAGCCATTACTCGGAAGAGGCGGAGGTTTGGTCTGGAGGAATGTGACTTGGCACCGACAGTACGTCCTGGGTTTCAGCGCTGCTCTGGGCTGCTCCAGCTCCCCGTCATTTGGACTCCCATGAACCTCCTGTGCTCCCAGTGTGGTTTCCCTGTGTGCTGACAAGTTTTCTGGTTGTTATGTCTTGCAGCCCCCCGAATCCAAGCCCAACTTCACCCCTCTCGCCATCTTGGCCCATGTTCTCGGCGCCATCCAGCCCTATGCCCACCTCATCCACGTCCAGCGACTCATCCCCCATCAGGTCTGTTGCAGGGTTTGTTTGGTTTTCTGTTGCTGCCGTTGTTCTCTCATTGGCTTGGTCCTCTCTTCATGCAGTGTTCAGCCTCCTCGTCAACTTTGTTCCCTGCCATCCAAACCTGCACTTGCTTTTTGACAGGCCAGAAGAAGCGGTTCGTGAAGACTCCAGGTAAAATCACGGATGATGACCAACCTGTTCCTGTTTATCCAAAGCTGGCCAGGGACAGTCGGGGGGCCACCTCTGCTCTCCTGCTATTCCATCCTGAGACACCAAAGCCAGGCGGGATCATGTGCATGACACAGCATGGCATTTTTAAAAACTCTTTTTAACCCTAACTAATTTTCTGAATTAACCTCTGTTGTCCGGATTTGGGGAGAAGAGCGCCTCCTGATCAGGTTCCTGCCTGGATGGCTCTCTGAATTATTTGGACTATCCATGCTTTAGATAAGTTAATACAAGAGGGAACAGTGTTGACACACATGCTAGCCTCTTCTTCTCTCATTGTTATCAGGTAGCTTCAGGATATGTTTATTCCTGGGGTTGGGCCACCTGGTCCCTGAGACCAGATCTACTGGGTGAGAGACAAGTGTAACACACAATAAAAGGTCAAGATACGAAGTCATTTCTCTTTTATTTATTTACTTATTTTTTTGGAGAGGTTTTTGCTATAGGGCACGTGCGCTTGCCAGAAAGACAGAGAGAGAGACAGAGAGACAGAAAGTGAGAAATCACCCTCCCAAGGGAGATGGCCACACCGCAGTCCCTTCTCCTCCATTCTCCTCTCAGGATCTTGGGCATGCACGTACACATGCCTGGAATGAGTTTAAGCCACCAGGTCTAGGACTTGAACCATGGTCAACTACATGGAAGTCCAGCAACACAGCCATTACGCCATCTACTGGACCCCATTTCTCTTTAAATTGCTCGTGGCTTATGCCTCCTTGCCCATATGCCCCAGGAATCATCCCTGCTCTCAACCTGCCTCCATCCCTGTTGTATCGAACCCTGAGCTCTCCTGGGAACAGGCTCTACCTATTTCTGAGGGTGAATAGTTTGACCCAGTTCCTTCCCAGAAGGGCCATGCTATAGTTCTCCCTGTTTTTGTTAATTCCAGACTTATGATCTGAGCTCTGTAGAGGAAAGAGCTCTTTCAATCCAAGAAAATAATTAATAAATATTTTTATTAATACTGTGTAGGTCCCAAATCTTCTCTCTCAAACTTGGTATCTGCCTTCAAACAACCAAAACGTAGAGCCCAATTATAAATATCATAAGCATTTTGGGCTTTAGCAGTATTTTCTCATCTGTCTTTTTCTCCTAAGGGGTAGGTCCAACAGAGAAGCTTAAATAATGTATGAAGCTGAGTCTCACTTTTTCAAAAAAGAAAAACCCCATGCTATTTATACATATAGATACATACATTATTTTACTCCTCTGCAGGCACCCACATCTATCATTTCATTCTATCCTCATGTGAGAATGAGATGAGAAACAGCCTGGACCCTATTTTAGAAAAAGAAAACTGAGGTAGAGAGAGGTGCCTTGGACCCAGTCACATGACTAAATGAGAGCCAATCCAGAACTCAGGACTGGTCCCCTCTGCCCAGGACACTTTCCTCCAAGCATAGGGGTAACCCTAACTTCCCGTTTCCCTACAGCTCCCAGCCCTAGAGCTTAGCCAGCTCTTCTAGGTTTGTTACAGCTTTCAACCTCATTTTGCCCTGGGTGGTGGAGAGATACTTCCAGTATATTCTTTTTTCCTCACCCCATAAATAAGGTAAAAATTCAAATAATATTTTCCTGACATTTATATTTTCCTAGTTATTTCTTCTGGGCACTTTGAGAGCCATTAGCTTTCTAGGATACCAGAGATGCTATGGATTGTTCTGGTTAAATTACAGATTGCCCCATGAAGTCTTGAACCAGAGCAAACCACAGCGACCAGAAATAGTCGTCTTCCAGAATGCCTCCCTCACTCTTTAGAGAGATTGGAGCATTAGAATATGGCTCCTGCATTTTTATAGAAAGGGAGAAAAAGCTTCCTAACAATGGCCCCTTCAAACCAAACGGGAAAAGGGACTCAGAACAGTGTAATCATGCAACTGAAAATCTAAAATGTTCTCTCTGCTTTGATGGTATTAACTTTTTTGTGTCCCTGAGCTGTGAGGGCCTTTTTACTTGTCAAGTATCTACCTCGCCACTGCCATCAATCTCCAAAAATATTAACAGGGTTTTTTTTTGTTTTTGTTTTTGTTTTCCTTTAGTTATTTCTTTCCACCACCCAAAGTATTTCCAGATTGGCAGAGGATAGTAGCCATACAATCTGCTTACTTGACGTGTTTGCGTTGTGGTCACTGAGTACTGCCCTCTCTGGCCATGATCAGAATAGCATCATTGTGAGGCTGCACTTCCTTGATCCTTTAGGAAGCTGCCATTTTGAGATAGGCAGGACAAAAAAGGGCTTGGAGTTGGCTGTCACTGAGCTAAATGTGTGTGCCAAGGTGACCACAGGTAGGGACGCTGCTGAGGAACGAGCACATGAGAGAAAGAGGACTTGTCTTCTAAACTGCTACTGCAGTGTGTAGCCCAGAGATGGGGCATACACCCATTATACACGTTTAGTGGGCCCATCCCCCAGATTCTTTTCCAGAACATGAAGCTTCAGATATCCCTCCCTTGCCGGAGCTTTAAAAAATTAATACAGAATCAGACCTAGTTAATGGTCCCATAAACTTCTGCATAGTATGTTCTCTGGAAATGTCCTCTCCCCTCTTCCATCCCATTTGAGAGCTTGTGATTTCAAACTCAGGAATGAAGATTCCTTTTGCAACATGGTAGGAATAGGACCCTGGAGAAGCATTCGCTTCACACTTCTCTCCTTTCAGTTGTCTCCCTCTCACCCCTTGAAAAGACCTAAGCCCAAACTCAGAACTTGCATTTGCGTAGGAGCCCCTGGAAATTGTGCCCTAATGATCAGGCCATTGCAGCCCTCCAGTGTCGTTGGCCACACCTCCCTATAATGCTGTACGGTGGAGCGTGGGTCGTCATTTTGCAAGGCTTGCAAGGGCATTTGAGGGGAACTCCTCTGAGTGCTTTCCTGGCCCCGTGCCATGCTCCGAGGCAAAAAATTACAAGTGAACTTGCAGAAGGATCCAGACTTGTTCCTGCCCTTGAAGGCCCAGCAGAGGTCTGAAGGGCCCTGTGATGGGAACAGCTGAAACCACCCCCACACTCTGGGTCAGCGTTGAGATGTGCTGTGGAGACTAGAGAGCCACAGAACCAAAGATGCTTGGTGGGGATTTTTAATTTTTTTAACCAGAGCCAATGCCTACAAACACAACCTCCCTGCCAACAGGATCTGTCTGTTTTGGTAGGAACCCTACCTAAAGCAAACTGCTCAAGGTTTTGGGGAGGGAGTTACGGGACTCTGGACTTCCTGGGCTGACACACTTAAAAAGATAAGTCTTTCCCCTTAGTAGTGATGCCATGTTTAGCAAATCAAAACAGCATACCTAGTTAAATTTGAATGGTAGATAAATGAAAAACAACTTTTAACACGCACAAATCCTATGCAATATTGGGACAATCACATACTAAAAAAAAAAAATTATATCTGAAATAAAGAGGGAAGGAACCAACAGATGGCATAATGGTTATATCACAGGACTGGACTCCCACATAGTCAACTGTGGTTCAAGTCCGGACTGGCAGCTTAAACTCATGCCAGGCGCATATGCGTGTGTGCCCAAGATCCCAAGAGGAGAATGGAGAAGGGATGGCAGTGTGGCCATCCCCCCTGTCTCTCTTTGCCTTTCTGGCGAGCTCATGTGCCCTATAGTAAAAAAACCTCTCTTTAAAAAAAAAAAAAAACTGATTAATCTAGGTGTCCTGTATTTTATATGGCAACCTACACTTATGGCCCAGGAGCAGCATCCTTTAAAAGCACCCCTTCTACCCTTCCTCCCATTTTTGTGACATCCTGAAAGAGGGAGGGAGGTCTCCAAGGAAACACACCTCCCTTCCACTGTCGGTCACCTGTTAAACATGAGAGAAGAGCAAGGCCCTTTCCTGACCTCAATTCCTATTTTTTATGTACTATTTGAGGATCACTTTATTATTCAATTCTAAAAACCTAGTATGAGTGGAAAGTTACTCCTCTTGAATGATAATCATGGGTACCTGAGATCATTTCCATTGCTTTCTGCCTGCCAGCTACCCCAGCTGGCTCTCCCGGCTTGCCCCCATTTTATCCCATTGGCTTTATTTAATGAGTTTAATAAGTAACCTCTATGAAAATCCACCCAGAGGAACCCTGCCTTCCCTGATCTCTTTGCCCTTTACCTGCCTGCTCTGCCCTGTCCTCAGGAGACAGCGATACTGCCTTAAAACAGAGTTCTGGGCTGGCAAATGCCATGGTGGTTAAGGGCACTGGACTGCTCATGGCCAAACACCATTCAAGTCCTGGACCTGGTGGCTTGCTTTCTCACTTTCCTTCTCTGTCTCTCTCTCACTCTGTCCCTCTCTGTTCAAATTAAAATAAACAAAAAGATCAAAAATAAATAAAGTTAAATAGAGTAATTCTTTTTTAAAAAATGGGTCTCTAAGATCCTTGCTAATGCAGACACCATTCTCCTTCCACCTTTAATGTCATGGCAGATGCCAGTTGCCTGGCAATATCATTTGGGGGCTGTTTCAGCACTTTTCCCAGCACTTCCTCTCTGCTCCCTACCTCCTAAAAAAAAAAAAAAAAATTTCCCTCCCTGGAAAGTTGCACATTGGCTGTTTGGCCCTTGTTAGCCAATCTGCTGGCTTGGTTTAGCTGTCACACAGAATGTACCCCTTGTCCTGAACTTTATTCTCTCATGATAATTAGGCAGGAGGAGCTGCTTCCCCCATGGAGCTAAGGAACACTAACAGCTCTCCCTTCCTGCACTCCCAGTGTCCCCACTTCATTCTCTCTCGCCTTCGCAATTTCCCCCCACCTGGTCATCATGTCTTGGCTGCTGAAAACTAAGAGAGCCATGGTAAACTGTGGCCCAGTAACAAAACCTGCACAACCATGTACTCTGATCACCCTGCACAGCAGACCTTTTAAGTGATTTTTTTCTTCAGTTTTCACAGGGGGAAAAAAAAAAAAAAAAAAAAAGACTGGAAGGTTTAGACATTTGGCCCTGAAGTAGGTTCCTATTCATCCATGGCTTCTCCTTCCCAAGACATCACAGTTTCAGAATGACCCATGATACCTTGCCCCATCTGATTCGGTCTGGGAAAATCATTCCTAGCTAAATCAGTGAGTCCTGGGAGCTTTAGTATTGTTAATTTCTTAAGGCTCTCCATTAGTCAAATGAGGAGAAATTAAATGGAAGGAGCCCTTAAGTAATTGTCCACCCCACCTGACCTACTTGCTCCTTTTTATTCTGCCCTTTGCACCCCCCCCCCACCTCCTCTTAGAGAAAGAAGAGGCTCACTTTTGGCAAACCAAGAGCCCACTATTGACAGTTAAATATCTTTTTTTTTTATTGCTATTATTATTGACAGTAATTTTTTTTTTTTTTGGTGATCCTTGATTGGTCAATAGACTATTTGGAACTAGCTGGATATCAAAATAAAAATTGCTAGTAGGTCATAGGAATGACCAGCTTTTACAAATTACTCTCTAGAACACAGGGTAGCAAACCATGGCTTCTGGTGGGTCAGCGGTAGCCCACCTGTTTTTCATGAATAAAGCCGTGTTGGAACATGGCCACACTAATGTATTTACGTGTCGGTGACGTTGGAGCTGTAGTGCAGAGTTGAGTAATTGCTCCAGAGACCAAATGGCCCGCAAATCTAAAACGTTTACTACCTGACTCTGTACAGGCCAAGTTTGCCAACCCGCACTCTAGAACAGTGGTTCTCAGCCTGGCTGCACATCGGAATCACTTGAGGAGCCTGTTAAAATTACTGACGCCTGAATTTATATTCACAAGTGGGGTAGACCCCAGACATCTGCATTTTAAAATGCTCCCCAGGTGATTCTGACGCACAGAGTGGTCATCAACACTCAGGAACAGAGCATCATGTCCCCTCTTCCTTCTCCCTACACTACCCACTGCTCTCTCACCTTCTCTATTTCCTGTCTTCCCTGGGAGTCAGGGCATTCCAGGTCTGGCGTCCTGGCTCACCAGCAAGACCCAGCCCAGTGAGAAATAAAGAACATCTGGGAGGACTAGTGTCATCCCGTGGCCTGGAGCCGGAACCTGGCGTTGCTGAAACTTCTCCTTTTTGATTCACTGGGCGGGCATTGCCAGCTTTCAGCACGCTCTAAGGGCATATTCTCCAGAGCAGCCTGGAATTTTTTTTTAGGTTTTTCTCCCTCTCCACAAAAGGAGTCCAGCCTGCCCTCCAGTAGTTAGCTGTTACCCCCCAGATGGCCTTACATGGCACCAGATGACCCCAAACAAGTGCAGTTTCTTAACACGGCTCTTCTCTGAATATGTCTCATTTTTCTCCTATGACCTTTATGACTCTTCCACCTCATGTTTTGCCATCTGGCTGCCTTGTCAGGCTCTTCACAGGACTAGGTGGCTTGCAGGGAAAGGAAAGAAGAGAGATTAAATATCTGGAACTTTCTGAGGGTTTTTTTTTGTTTTGTTTTGTTTTGTTTTTAAGATGTTAAATAAACTCCTGTTTTCATACAGCACTCCTTTCCGGAAGGCAAAAGCCTTGTATGCCTGCAAAGCTGAACACGACTCAGAGCTTTCGTTCACGGCAGGCACGGTCTTTGATAATGGTGAGTTTCTCAACCCTTCACAAAGGTGGGGAGGTGGGGGGCAAACCAACAGTTAGCATTTTCAAAATTTCTACTTAGGGGAAACTCTCCATAGAACAGGTAAGACCAAAAGAGTGTGCACCTGTGTGTGTATACATGTGTATGTGCATGTGTGTGATGTGTGGGGGTATATGTACATACGTGTGTGTGTCTTGGCAGATGAGAGAGCAACAGCAGCAGAACAGAGCTGTTCTGAACACAAAGCGAGGTTGTACCTGCAAAGGACTCAGCCCTGGCAGTGGCTTGAGAGTCTGGGGACGAGGTAGGGGTTGGGGACGAGGTAGGGGTAGGAGACGAGAGGGTAGGCGACAGGAATGGGCTGCTGCTGGTCTGAAGCATGGGGTGGAGGTTGAGGCTGCCTCTCTCCGCCCTCTTCCTCCTGGACTTGGCGGCATCCATTCTCCTCAGCACATGAGGCAGATTTCCCAGGTGGCAGGCCTTCGACGAGCTCTGAGGCAGTATGCCTCACTGTCCCTGCTCATTTCCCGTAATGACTGGGAGCACAGGATAGCCTTCCCTGCGGTTAAACCGCCCGCTGTCCTGCTGTGGTATCCTGGCCTGAAAGTGGATCATAGCACCATGTTGAACCAGGTTGTAGTACTCACTTAATACAGCATTTTCTTACGTCTTTTGTTGGTTTTCCTCTAACAAAATATTTTCCAAGTGGGACTTGTTATAATTTGTCATAACTTATCATTTATCTAATGAAAAAAATATCAGGATTTCAGGACTGACCCTATAGCCTAATGAGTAAGGAAACTGAGTCCACATGGCTGACCATGGTTCAAATCCCAGCCCCAGTAGCTTAAAACATATGCAGGGTGCATGTGTGCTCCAAATCCTGACAGGATGGAGAAACGGAAAAGGAGGAATTGTGGCATGACTGTGCCCCATGGAGGAATACTTTCTCCCTCCCCTTTTCTCTCTGTCTCTGTTGACAAGTGTGTATACCCTCTGGCAATAAAAAATCAGGATTATGGAGAAAAAGCCCTGGTTTCTGCTACAGCTGAGTTTTTATCCCAGTGACGTTCTTTGGGGTCCCTAGGTCCCTGGGTGAAAGGGTCAAAAGAGGAAGCAAAAACACCTGCGTAGTTTCAGGAACTGGGCATTTTCTCTGGCTACCTCCCCGACCCACGTGGGTGGGGTCAGAGGTCCCAGGAACAGGTGACTGTTAATTGCTCAAGCTCTCTCCAGGCCAGCCAGTTAGGCTGTCCTCTGCCGCCACCCCCTTGGCCTCGGCCACACCCCTTACCACCTGACTGAGGGCAGCCAGGGCTCCTGCATAGCTGAGAAGCCTGCGCTTCAGAGTCAGGCCACCAAGTGCACAGCCTCGCTCGACCACTTCCCCTGTGTGACCCGGAGCAGTGACCAGACTCTCTGTGCCTTGTTCTCTCTTCTGTTATATAAAGATAATGCTGCCTGCCTTACAGGGCAGAGTGAGTGAAAATTGACTTCCTGTGCACCACCTGTTTGAAATGGTACTCAGCACGTAGTAAGCATTCAATATGTTGCTATCATAGTTCACAAGGACACTTTTTCCTTTTTAGCTGATCTGGCCCAGGCCTGGCATTTGGCTGGCAGGAAGTGCTGCACCTCGAGTCCCTGAGTCCTCCTATATCTGTCAGGGCCAAGCCAGAGACCACCCTGGGCTACATCCAGATCAAGAGCTGCTCCCCAGCTGCCCCCGACTCCCGCCCCGTGCACCCAGCCCTGCATTCAGCTTAGTAGAGAGATTCATCAGTCAGGCATAGGTCGTCACAGTGGGGAAAAGGCACAGAGCACTGGGAGAGTCCCAGATCACACTCAACCCTGGGCCTTCCAGGCCAACAGGAGTGCAGTGAGCACAGAACTACATATATCCTGCTGAGCCCGTGTCCGCTTTCATAGTTCTCACGGCCCAAAGCCTTGCCCTTAAACCCTTTCTCCATTAACTTTCATTTGGACCTTGTACAAATCAAAGTGCAAAGATAGCCAGCTCTGCCGCCCTGCTGTCTGCAGCTGGTGTTTGCAGGCCCTGGCAGACTGGCAGGGGGAAACAGGCTGCCGGCAGC